GGTAGACGGTACACAGTACAGTACATGCGTCAGCCATATCGAGTTCGGACTGGCAAAAAAGGAGCACTTTCCCGAGCATATACTACTGTACTGTACAAGTGTACAGCATGTAGGAGTAGGATTTCAAATGCATTCCCTGAAGAGGGAGCTAGGATGAAGGAATGGGAAGGGCATTTTGTCAGTTTGTGCAATGGTGTCTTGATTTACAAACTTTCCAGCTATTTAAAAGAGGCTTCTCATACCTTGACTATACCTGACTTATTCTGAAATCTGTACAGCACATTGATATGGTCAAATTTCTACCTACAAAATATTGACTGTGCTGTATTGTCCTGTGTCTTCTTCGCTTCTTGAGCCAGCTTAAAATGTTTTCCTGATGTGTCAATATGATGGTTCTTGTTCTAGAATAAATCTACAGTGAAGTACAGTAATTAGAGTTGAAATCACTTATACTGTATACCGTATATAAATATAACAATTATTAGATTATCTTGCTTTTCATTAGGTGATTTGCATTTCGTTTTTGAAGGCTTGTGTCTTGAAAGTATTTTTATTGACTGTTATGCAATTTTTAGTTAGATTCTTTTTTATTTGGCACTTTGAGCTTTTGGTTGGAAATGACAATCATTTCTAAAAATTTTAATGAACAATTGATTTATAGATTTACTGTATATTAAACACTTCTCAGGAATGAAGTTTTTAGGCTAAAACCACTTTGTATATGTACACAGGAATAATTTCCAAATGTTGCTAATCAGTGGCAACTTATTGACGTTGATGGAGGCTGTAATACATAATCAAGAATGTTGCCCAAGTTTTTTATTGACAGTTGATCGGAACTCTTGACATTTATTACCATAGCTTTGATAGTGTTCAATAATATTAAGTTTGTTATATTGTTGACGCCATGACAAAAATGCTGGAATGAAGAAAATGCTGCTGATTGGGGACAATGACAATACAGTGTATAAGGGATGCAATTTTTATGTTTGTTGTTTCTGGGAAGGATGTGCATAATGTATAACAAGCCCTCTATAGTAAAGCACTGTCCCTAAATTGGGTGATGTGAACACAGCATAGAGTATATCTTAACATCATTCATCCTTTCTTTACTCACCTTTTTAAAATTCAATCTTGAACCCGCCAAAGTAAAGCTTTGAGGAGCTAGCTGTAAGTGACATGGGCCATATAAGACGGCATTAGCCAGCAGACATCAAATGCTGGAAATACCAATCAGGCAGTTTTTGTTTTTGTTTTTTAAACTTCTGTAGATGCAGTTTGACTTGGCAAGTTAAAACAGTACAATACAGTACAGTACAGTATTTGAAAAATAATATACACCTGCTGCATAATCATATTTCATATTCTGTACTGCATATACTCATGCTTTATCCACCAACAGGATATGATATTTCTGGGTGTTGCATCTCTATTTTGCTGATGAATATATATGGTTTATATAGATGCAGGGATAGCAGAAAACCAAGTTTCTCAATCAAGGAGTACAGTACAGTACTGCGTTTTCAGCAGATGGTCACATTTCATTATAATTATAATAATAAGTTATCCAGCATATAATCACGCGGCGCATCAAACATACGTCGCCATTGCTGTGCATCCAGTCTGCGCACTACAGAGCAACTGAATGGTACATTGGTATATTTGATCCAAGTTTCTTGACCTTTCCTCGCAAATTTGCATGTACTTGGAATCAATATAATTAATGCAGCCAAACCAAATTATATAGCCTCATGATTATTCATTTATTCATGAAGGGATTCTATGATTTCTCTCAATTACCTATATACTCAAATGGAATGCCTATGAAGATTCATAGTAATGTTGCCCATGCCTAAATATATTTGAGGGTTTAACACTTCCGACCTACTTAGCATGTACACACTTCGTCTACACTCCACGGTATTAAATGTCTTTTCATATCCATGCAAATATTCTGTACATGTACTGTACACTACCCAGGAAAAACTCTCCAAGTATATATTAAAAGGGAACTCAAACATGCCGCACGGATATGATGGCCTGCTCTGTTTTAGGTTAATCCAGCAACATTTGTTTTGGCCTGGCTTTTTAAAGGGGTCAATACTCAGCACAGATGTCATCCATATGCAAGAATATATCCAATGCATTACTTGTGAAAAGCATCAGGATAATTACATATTTGAATCTCATCTCCTCTGTTTTCAAACAGATAAAATGTTTAGACCCATTTCCATGATGTGGATATCATGTTGAAAAATAGATTAAGGTATAGATCTAACAATAAATTAAAAATAAGCTTCAAGAATATATTGTATATACAGTATAGTATAGAAGAATATTTAGTAGTGTATATATAGTACCTACTATACAGTCCACCTAGCTGTTATTCTAGCTGTACATTATATATTTGTTCCAGTATATACAATATATAGAACCATACTGATGCACGGCATGCAGGATCTATACATTTTTCTCTTTTAGTTAGCAGCAGCAGGTATCTTAGTTCCTGCATAAGTCTACATGACATTATCATATCTCATCAATCATAGATATTGTTCATATATGATTAAATTTTAAATGCATTATTATGTCCTTGTGCTCTATTTACTTCTGATTAAATGTTGTACATTTTCCTGATGCTGCAGTGATTTGGAATCCTTATATGCAAAACCGCGAGCTCCACGGGGAATATGTTGAATGGTTCCAGCAATTACTGTATAGCACCAGAGGTGACAACCCGTGTATGTATGGTCAATGTCCCATCTCAGTCAGACTGCCATTATCAGGAGTTCTCACTTCTCAGATATTGACTGCATGCAATGGCTGACATGCACCACCTCATATCATCCCTGCCTGTATTGCTAAAAGAACCAAAAATTGAGCTCAGAGACCATCGCTTCATGTTTCTCTGAATGTGCCGCAAGAGGGCCGTCAAAACGGTATTTCGTTATGGGTGATGTGAACGGTACTTTCACCGATCGACTTACGCGACAGGATCCGTTCAACATATGCCGGACAAGACGTGCAGCGCGATCGTGTTTTTTCTTTCTTCCTTCCTTCATCTTCTTCCGCTTCCGCAAAGAAGTCATGTGAACGGTTTCGGAACCGTGAGACTCGATATAGAAGAGAGACCGGCATCAATTCTATTACATCCTGGCTCGTTCCGCCATGAATCACGCGGAACGGGACTTTCACGGTTGACGCGCCTGTTATTATTAGCGGAATATTCGCTTCTTTTCAAGGTAAGATGGAGGAGCTTGGCGGAGAAAAGGCATCCGCGGTGTGATGAAGCGTCCGACCTTTACTGCAAATATTATACGCTGGCGCAATAAGAAGTGGAAGATTGAGAAGTGCGTGGCACTGTCATATACAGTACTGTACCACAGGTAGCATACAAATCCAGTCGCGAAAGACTCTTGAAATCACACATTGCTGATTGCTCTTGTATCCGACGAACTGAAAAATCGATAGCGTCGGTTGTACCATGCAAAAGTCACGGTTGATATCCTCTTTGAAGCCTTTGGTCGGTGCTCTTGCTAAAGGACGATTGTTGCTGGAGCGTATCCGAAGCCCATAGTGTATTGCAACATCCTGGCACAAGGGTGTGCTATAGGAACTTGATTGGCTTTAACTTTTAATGCGCATGTGCGTGAACAGCGTTCAAATTCATACTGAACGGGTTTTCAAGAGCGTCCTGCATCTGCGTGTTAAACTGCTAGTTGTATGATAAAAGAACTGTGCAGTACAGCAGAACCGTTTAAAACTACAGCTATAATGTACTGTACCTATGCTGTACGAATTATTTTACGCCAGCAATGCTTGTTTCAGAAAGCGGGTTGATGAAGAAATTTACAGTAGTAGGATTACGAAGATGACTGAAAAATCTTAAATACTAATCTGAACTGATGCACAGGGTGATTAGAAAACAATTACTGTAAGAGGGAAAACGTCCGTATTAATTTTCTGGGAATCTATTAGCGACATCTTCTAGAGCTTAAAATCATGTTCTCATGAACAATCCACTGTGTTCGTGCAGTTTACATTGTACAGAGCAAACCCGCTTTTCGGGAAAGAAGCCCGTTCACTCATCCCACACGATGAGTGCCCGTGTTGAACATTTTGCTTTTCAAGTCAGGCGTGCGTCGCGAACTCGCGATCCACAGGCTGAGGTCAGTCATTACTGACCATACTTTCATACAAGACATTACTTCGACCTGAAGACGAATGGTGGGGTATTTCGTGATAGGACATGCTGTTCTGTTGATTTTATTTTTTTGAATCTATTGAGTGTGGCGAACGTTCGTGAAAATGGAAAGAGTGTGAACGAAAACTCCGGGTTTAATGTGGTATCTAATTTTAGATGTGATCCTCTTGAAAATTCCCAGATTATTTTCGTGTTGATGTCGTGTGATGAATGTGGACGCCGTATCCGCGGCGTCCCGAGACAACACCATTACGTTGTCTCAGGATACCACTCCAATGGCCGCGAAGAAAGTAGCCAGTCCAGAAGCAGACAACAAGAACTTGAGGAAATTATGTTCTCTTGTCCGATTCCACGGCGAAGAGCTTATGCGTGGATCCACGAAGCTCAGCTTGTCCATCGATGCCCTTCAAGTGATCCTCCGATTAGTTGCTGGTGATGTTGCGGATCTTGCAGCAGATGGTTCCGATCCATTGTTGTTTGAAGCTGCGTGCCTTCAAGGTGTCCTGAAGTCCGTCTTAAAACTCAAAGTTAGTATATGGAATGCTCTGTTGTGAAGAATATATTCCTTTAGCAATGTTCATTTCAGATTTGCCGTGCCTTGAGTCGATCAGATCTACCTGTTGTGGTTGATCTTGGAGCTTTCGAGCAGTTATGTTCTTTGGAAGTAGTGGGTGTTGCCTTGGAGTGCATTTCTGGGTTGGGCCCATTAGCCCGCCGTCTTGTGTCAATCACGCTCGAAAATTGTCGGTTTAAGGCTGGCATCCGCGACTTCTTTGTTGATGCTGCAGTATCGAAGACAATTGAAAAAAGGGAAGCAGAAGAAAATGATGGAATTGAAGAAGCGGTTGAGTGGCCAGAACTCCGAGAAGTTAATATCCTGAGGAACGACCTTACATCATTAGATTCATCTCTCACCCTTGCACCTCGACTGAAAATCCTCGATGCCAGTTACAATAATTTGACAGACGCAGGAGTGGATTGTTTGGGTCGCTTCGGTCAATTAACGCGGATGAACTTGAGCTTCAACTGTCTGAAACATGTGCCAAGTTTTGGCCCTGGTTCTGGAGTATTTTTGCATACGCTTCTTTTGAGAAACAATTCTTTGGAGAATCTCAATGGACTTGAATCTCTAATTTCACTGAAGGTAATTTTTCTTCGCGTACTCGAATTTGCCTAAGCGCTATACTATATTTTATTTTTCCATTGATCAGATTTTGGATGTTTCTTTCAACATAATATCTTGGCCTGGAGCGTGCGAAGCTTTGAAGAGTTTATCTGCACTGACGGCTCTCCATCTAGACGGAAATCCCTTGTATTACGGTAAAAATTACCGCACATCCGTCCTTTCCCACCTGCATCCGAGTTTGATGACTCGAAAGGTAAGAGTTTTGATGAAGTTTTGAAGTAAATTTTCGATATTGTGTAGCGCACTTCTTCGTTAGCTTCGCCAAAAAATTTGAGTTCGTCTTGGAGCCGAATGCGTTTGAGATTCTCATGGCGAATTATTGTTATGGTGGTCATTAAAACATGTTCAGAAATTCAAATGCTGAATGCTTCGGTCGTTCGTTTAGTATCTTCCAATATAAACATGATCTAAACCGAATGCAGAACAGCAAAAATTCAGCAAGCAAATCGAGAAGAATTATCTGGCAACGTTTTCTTACCAATTGACGAGTTAGTCCTAATACCTGTTGGTGTCACTTGAAATACAATTTCCGGTGAAATTCTCATTCCCACTTTTTCAGGGAAATTCTTAGTGCTTGCGACTTGATAATTGTGCCTTTTTTATCCAATCTGTATGAAAAAATTTCTGAAATATTGTGATGTGGTGTCTCCAATAAGCCTGCAAACCTTTTTTCAGTTTGGATGGCTGTAAAGTAATGTTTCTTTGAATTTCGGCTATCTTAAATTTGGTAAATAACGTAATGATCTTGAATGATTTATCATCCCTCAGTTTTCTCTGGATGGAAAAGTACTGTCTCCCTTCGAAAGAGATGCAATCCGGGATGCCGCTTTGGACAGATACAATTTGGCTCCAGCGCCAGTTCCGCAGCTTGAGCTGAACTCAACACAAAACACACATGGTGAGTGATTTTCCGCCTTTTTATTTTTTCATACTTCATGCATTTTTCGATAATTTGAATTTTTGTTAGACATGGAAACCTCCAGTTTTGGAGGAGCGTCGCAGTGCAGTTCTCAGCCGAGGGCGAAAGCGAGGCGTGTTCGTGAAGCGCCTATTGCCTCCACGGACGATCTGGCTGGTTCGTTCGGATCTCGTTCAAGCAATATTGCTCAAGACAGGGCGAAAAATTTGCACGTTGTGCGTGCTATCGTCGAGAATCCCAAGGGTCCACCTTCACCTGTACAAATTCGCAGGAATTCACCTGCTGAAAGAGGATCGCCGATATGCTGTTCAACGCCAGGTACTCGTGCATAATTTATGACATTTATAAGTGCGGCTCGGTGATGAAACTACGCGATTCAGTTCGCATTATGCATTTTCGCGCTTCCATTACAAGCTAATCCGCAACCTTAAAAAAAGTCAGATATGATCCCATATGTTGTGAACGATTCTTGTTTTCTTGCGAACATTACGTAAGGTCCGAAAAACATCAGAATTCGTTTGGAATGTCTTATGCTTTTCCTACCGAGCGGAATTTCTCATTTTGAGATAGGGTAAATATTGATTTCTAGTTTTTAGACGTGTTCGAAATGTGTTCTAGGGCAGTATAAAGTTGAATTATTCATGGGGAAGGGTTAATACTAAACTGCAAGGATTATCCCATCTCACATGATTAAATGCCGAAAAGAAAATAGCAAATTGAACGACTGCAATCCCTGTACTGTATATTTTGATCGAGGGATTTTTTAAATGAAGAAAACAAGGAATTTTTATTCCTAGAAGCAGGTTTGAAGGTTTTCCTATCACACGCTATGTACCTGGTAATATGTCTTAAGTGTATTGAATTAAAAAAGAATACAGCATATTGCACCGTCACTTCAGCAACTTTCAGTGGACTCAGTTCCATTGCTACATTAATGTTGCAATTTAAAGACTAAAATGTGCTGAAAATTGAGTTTTTAGGGTATTTTATCCTTTTAAACGTTCAAGGGAGAATTCTCGGAGGCTCAACTGGAGCCTCGTCTTCATTAAATGAGCGATTTCATTGCATCTTCAACTGTAACAGCTTATTGTTCTTCACTTGAAGCTTCATGCCAGCGTTTCCATTTAGCATCATTGTTGTAATTATCCCAAAGATCGATGCTCGTTGCTTATACATGTAGGTGCTGCATCTAAGATTTAATGCTCGTGGAGCATGTAAACGCAGATCTGCTTTTTGTTTATACAGTAATTTGCTCCGAAGGTCTAGATGTGGAGAACATGTATTACCATGACTCAACTTTCTCTCATCTCTACTTCCTAACTCGTGCAGGAAACATTAGAACAAAGGTCAGACGAGAGTTCGGTGTTCTTCCTTGAAAACTCTGATGAATGGAGATGTCGATGATCACAAGATTGGCCCAATTTTATTAAACGTTTTCAGCTCAGATAAAGCTTAAGGAAATTTTCTCTTCCTTAATTATTAGGTGCGTCTTATACATAGCAAATTGATGTTGTATATTCGTAATTCTTCATGTGAATATGTGATGATTTTGTTGTTGTTTTCATCAGTGGACGTCACGTCAACTCGTGATAAGTTGAAGGCGTTGAGGAATCAATACGGAAGTGATAACTGGTTAGGAGCTCTTGCTGCTGCACCGGAGGTTTGTTCTTCTTGAAATAGCATCATTAGGTGGACGCTAAAATCGACGTTCTTTTTTAGGCTGCAGGAATTTTGGGCATTCCCCGCGGTGAGTCGCCAGTGAAGCAATCAGCGGAAGATAAGCATAATTCAGTCATTCAGCCAGCACCGATTTGCCGCAGCATGGCATTATCCGGTCAGATTGAACCAAAAGTAGCTGAAAACGAGCAACTCGTGTCCGATGAGTCTGAATCCTTTACGGAAGAAGGTGAGTTGAAATTAAGGGATTTTGTTTGTTCCTTTTTTCTGTAATACCTTGGGATCTTCATTTGTGCCACGAGTCTGTGAATTTGGCCACAATGCGCCAAATTTATTTTCAGTCACGTTTAATTGGTTGACGTAGGTGAGGATAGCGATTGAGGTCTGCGCGACGTTCGTTGAACTCTGAACAACTTCTCTAGCGTTCACCTAAAATTCGTCTGTAATCGATAACTTTTTCGGTCGCCTAAATATCTCCGAAGAGACAGGCAACATTAATCGACGATTTTCCATTCTGTATTTTCGGTAGTTCATAGTGTAATTTACTACGATTGAATAGTTGAAAGAAAGGCTTGATGACAAATTGTTCCTCTCTAATGAAAAATTGGTTTTATATTCCAGTGGAAGACGTCGTTTCATATCCCTGTGGATCGGCAGGAAGTGATGAGATGCGGCCCTTGAAATGCTGCCTAGTTGGCAGCATTGACGCAGATGGCCGTTTGAAAGTTTCTGAGATCATAGAACGTGATGCCTCAACGAGATCAATTTTATCACGATGGGATGTTTATAGTTTAACTAAAGTCGAGGTCGATGCATCTGACGAACCCGCAAAGATCTCGTTGACGTTCAAAACCATGCGCAAAGATGCGCAGAGTAGGTCGTATCTGATGAGTGGTGATAGTTGTTGGGTAAGATTCTTTTGTTTCATAAGAAATTTCGTTTAATGCATTTGTCTAAGAAATTGTTTTTCACGTGTTTAGGCATTATCGGAGTTTCTCCACCCTTACTGGCAAGAAAAAGATGCGGAAGGAAACGATTTCGGAGCATGGGAGTGTGTCAAGTGCTCGTCGCAGTTCGCAAAGGAAACGAAGAATTATGATCCCAAAAGAGGTTGGATTTATGAATAACGTTGATATTCATGTCGAAACCTATTTTTTTAATTGTTTCAGGTAAAAATGTGCGGTGTCCGATTTGTGGCAGTGACTTGGTCGTGTCCCTCGAAGGAATGCCTGAGCCGAAATCGGTGAAGCCTTCCCACGTCGAGAAACTTGCTCCTCGTTGCAGTAGCGCGGAATCAAATGGTGAGAAATTATATGCTGTGTATTATTTCATGTACGGTACTGCCTGTTTTTATTTTCATTCTCACGTCCGACTCCGCAATTTAATTTCTTCTTATGCTGGTGTCGCCGCGATTCGTTGGGTCTGTTCGGTTATAAGATTTAGAATTTATTCTAGTTGACCAGTGAACTGTGAAGACCCTTTATCGTACGAACTGCGACTAACGCGTTTAAAGAGATCTTTCTGCGCATTCGCGAAGTAAAGTAATTGCTCCTGTCTTCAACGCTTGATTCCATGAATCTGTATTTTTTTGCCATTAAAGAGGTGTCACACGGATTTCGTAATACTTGGTCTGATTTGAGTGATGTAAATCAAACTGACTAATATTTTGTGCTTGTACTTTGCTCCTTCCTCCCATCAAAAAATATTTCTATGAATTCAGCCTCGGCCAGTGCTCGAAGTACGGCTGCATTCCCAAAAGCGATCAAAATTACGATCTGAAAAGTGGAGCACTTTCCAACCATAGTATTCAATGTATCGCGTGAGTTTGCATCGTAGGTGTCTGACAATATTTTTAATGTGGCGGAGATTTTTAGGGGTAATCATGGGTTTTTTTGTGGTTACAGGACGTGCTTACCTCAATGAGTTGTAAAATTGTTCCTGCCTATATAGTTTTGTAAATTTTTTTTGCCTGGCATTGCTGCTCGAAATCTACGTTCGTCCTATATGCGGGTCAAACGCAGTCTTAATTCCGTAGGATTACTCTTGAGCCTGTTAGTCAATCAGATAAACGATCCCAGAAAATAAGATCGTATATTTTAGTGAAAAGAATTTTTGCGGTCGTGTGAACCCATGTCATTATTTTGACGCTCACAGACGATCGAAGCAGCTCTTCCACGCCAAAACCGAAATTCGAACCGGGTTCCAGGGGAGGCAGCCAGCCGGTGACAACGATCGCGAGTGATGCAAGTAGCGATATTGAAGTTTTGAGCAAGGCTTCCAGTTCGAGTATTGAGGTTTTGTCCCGAGAAGAGCCAGACGGTGTGGAGGAAGATGCACCTCGCCAAGGCATCACTCGTTCTGGCGAATCACCTGTGGGAAGTTGTCGTTCCGGGAAAGTAATGACGAGCAGTACTTCCTCTGGTTAGTAATTTTATTTTATTTTTCCATGGTCGTGAACTTTGATTTTTTAGACGACAAAAAAATTTTCAGATACATTTTTTAATGATCTGATGCTTTCTTATCGCTCGAAAGAACGATAAAAATCCGAAAAGTGCGGAAATCGGTCGCTTTTTGTCCACCCGACTCTTAGTATACAGGTAGACTCTCTCTAAAAAGATTTTTCCTGTACAATCCCTTTTTTCCATCTTTTGTGTTCTTTTTTCATGATCGTAAATTTTGATGGGTATTCGACAAGAAATTATCCCGATACTTTTTTTATAATGACCCGATGATTTCTTGTCGCTTGAAAAAATAAGAAGAATCGAATTGCGCGCGGAAATCGAACACCTCTTGTACACCCGAAACTTGGTGCACCGATAGATAGACTCTCCACAACGATTTTCTCTGTTCAACGATTATTTTTGGTCACATAGGCCATAGGGTTCTCTACCCATTAAATCAGGGTTCTTCACAACTAATTTTTTTCGTGTTAAGTATCATTTGACGTATTCATTATTTCAGAATCCATGACGGCTAGTTATCACACGGCATATAATCTTACGAACAAGACCAGCAGCAGTCTGGAGACAAATGCTTCGTCTTCGACAATTGTTGGGACGGCGACTACGGGCGTTGCGCTGAAAACATTTGCCAACGCAGTGGTTTCTTCAAAGCCGTCTGCGTCGCTTTCATCATCCTACATGAAACTCTTTGCTGAAGCGCATCGAGAAGTGGATGTTGTGCAGAAAGACGCAATCAAACCCGTGATTGATGCGTTGAACCGCGGAAGAACACAGAGCCTGAATTGCCAGTTGGAAGACTTGGATGACACTGTGGAGGACAAGGATTTTTACAGTTTGAGTGTGTTGAAGGCGTTAGCCGCTAGTCAGCTTGCAGTTGGAGGCGGAAAGCGCCGCCGAGCAAAAGATGCGTTGTATTTCTTGAACGAGCGCCTTGGAACGAGGGATTCATGTGAGTCAGTTGATTCATAATCATGTCAAATTCTTAACGTGTATGTTTACAATGGAAAAAAATCAATTGGAGTAATTTATCTGTGATTTTATGTTAAATCAGTCCTCTTTGACTCAAACCTCCTTAAATGGAAAACCTCCCCAACTCGAATTTTTTTTTTAGTCCCGAGCATTATCAGCTTTAGTTTCTCTAACCTCCCTAGCTCCAAACCTCTCCCGAGTTAAGTTGTTTGATCATTTCAAATTCGATTCCGAGAATATTTGAAATTGACGTTGGAATGAGTTGAAGTTAACCTTTTCTCGACATTCATTTTTTGAGGCTTCGAACAGCCTCGCAAATTTTCTATCGTCTAGAATTTCGACTCACCTGAATAAAACCGCTTTCTGGATTTTTTTTTCAGCGTTAGATTCCACCAAGAGCTTTGTAATAGACGATGTCAACGCTTCTGTGACAGAATTGATGATGAAATATGACTATGATTCCTTCAAACGGTTTGATCATCGGTTGAGTCTTCACTGTGACATTGGCGTATTCAAATCCTCTGCTGAAGAACTCGTTTTCGTTGCCCGAGTAAGTTTTCATATCGGAATATGTTTCATTGACTAGGAATTCGGATTTTGATTCATTTATTTCAAGATATTGTTGAACGTTGGAATGACACGGTTTAGCTATGAGTTGATTAATAGGCGTTATGGATTGTAAAGCTTCGGAGACTGATCGAATGTTCTACTTTTTTCATGGTGGAATATATTTTTCTTGGTTCTAATCTTCGTTTTGAATTACAGGGGGAATTAATGCCATCCGGACTAGATCAGCCATTTGCCGGGTTATTGGCGATATCGACTGAGGAAATCTACGTTTTGCGAATTAACGGAAAAGAAACGTGAGTAAACAACATCGGTTATGTGTGAACTTACTTCTGATTTCTCCTCATCGACTCGCGTGTGTTTTTTAATATTTATTCAGTGAGGACCCCGAAAAGTGGTTGGAACTGGTCGATTCCAAGCCTGTGGACCAGTTGAAAGGTCTTTCAAAAATTGTCGGTTCTCAGGGCCTCGTATTGCAATTTCGTGGGCATCCCAAGTCTCCCTGGGTTATTTTCTTCACTGGTGATGCACACCGGACTTCGAATCTGATCCATGCTCTGTCGGGTATGTTTTTAAATCTTATTCTAGTACTTTTTTAAAATTAATGCTAGGTTCATTTTAGGCTCAAGTCCCTGACTTTTTTTCGTTGTCGCCATTACTTTTGATGCGTTGGAATTGTAATGTGAATGGCCTTCCATTCAAAACAATTTCACTGAGCTTGTTCTTGGTGCGAAGCTTAGAGTTTAAAAAGTAATTCTATTGCATATTTACGGAATGGGTCATTTTTAGGAAATGAAGTGTGATCGCGGCTTTATGATAAAAAAAATTCTCCTTTGTTTCAGATAACATCGGGATTACTTTCGAGCTGGATTGTAGTGTATTAGTGGACGTGCAGATGTGTCAGTTGGAGACTTCGTTGATCGACTTTTTGAAAGACGATTCCATTGACCCGTGTTTTGTTTATTTTGCTATGGGATATTGCAAGATTTCTGAAGGTACGTGCATTCGTGATTGGAGGGACTCCTTCCACTGATATCTTGTTTACTGTGATGTCTACTTGGGAAGCAGGAAGTTGGGACCTTGCTGGAGTGATGCTTACTGCTAGTCACGTGTGCCTGTCTCGGGGAGACTTCAAGTGGATGTTTTCATCGTCGAATGGATCAGCGATGAGTCCAGTAGCGGCCAAGCGTCCGGATGTTGTGAGCTTGTTCGCCGTCTTCGATCTGAGCAACGTTGTAAGTGAAGAAGTTGTTCAGTACAAACTACTAATAGCTTTTGGCAAAATTCCAACATTTGCTGGTAACATTCTTTCATCACAGGGAATTGCTTCCTTTTTTGTCATCGCCTTGTCTTTTTTATAAAGATCTCGGGCTTTGATGAAAAGTTGAGAGGGTAAAAAGCTGATGTTCCTGCAAGGTTTAAATTAAACAACGTGTTGAAAAAATTTTCCTAAACCGTTTTCAGTAATGTCTTCAAATGAACAATGGGTTGCGGATGGCATTCAGGAATCAAAAGTGAGATTTACGAGTGGGAGAAATACACGATTTACGAGTGGAATACAGTGTACTACTGTAGGATTACGATGGGAACGAAATTTATGTAATTGTTGAGTTTTTCGGCGAAAATAAACTCTAAAGTAATTTTTCAAGACTCTTGTTGCCTTGTTTCCCCCAAAGTCGAGCTGTGGGCGAACAAACGTGATGTAATTTATTCATTTCTTTTTGTCTCTGGGCAAAAATAAAATACTTCTTACTAATCTGATGCTCAGGCCCAGTGTCTTTTCATGTTCTTCTGTTTTTCCAGGAGATCCACGACAAACTCCCGTCAGCGTTGTCGATGGTATTCGTGGACAGGGCAACGAAGAGTAAGGATTTCGAATCCATCGGACTGGCTGAAGGCAGAGCAGTTCGAGACACTGTGTATGTTGCATTTGAAACACCGCGGACTATGAGGGACTTTCTCAAGCAGCTGCAAGCCGCATGGAGCAGTCTCTTCTCTGGAGCTGAACTTGCAGTTGTTTCCAGCTGTCCGCAAATCGTGTGAAGACAGATAGGGACTCTTGGTTTACCGCATTTCCCACTGTACTGCTTCCGAATTTCCCCTCCTTATGTGCCAATTGAAGGTAAAGTTTTGACTTGAGTTTTTGGGATTTTTTTTTTTGCGGAAGAACGATTTTCCCGATTTTTTTAAAATTTCACTTTTAACGTGAAATATATGATTGTAATTGTTCGGGAGCCAGGATTTCGATTATTAACCTTGATTCGAGTTTAGGGGACGTGGAAAAAAAAGCGTTGTCGATGCGGACGTTATTCCAGGGAATTTGTTGGCTGTGCTGTGACATGCTTACGGACTCGTGGAAAAAATTATCCTAATGTAGAAATTTTTCGCGTGAATAGTATCACCGATCGACGCATGAAATCCAATCGATTCCTGAAGCTTCCATTTTATTCATTGGGTTAAGAATGTCAGGGCTGGAAATGGCTTTGTGGGTGGATCTTTTTTGTATTTTTATCTCTTCGGGTTTCGTGCGTAAAATGATCCGAGTATTTCCATCAGCTGTGAGGAGTTGAGGGCAGCAAATTGTGTTTCATTCATTTTTTGCCATTCGATAGATTTGTTCTAATATGTGTGCGGTGTTTTTATTTATTGAAGCCACCTTTCCTGAACTAATCGGCATTATCTTTTTCTTCCAGGAAAAAAAATTATCTCGTGATTGTGTAGTTCCGGCAAGAGTTCTTGGTGATGTGCGATAACATTCGGATTGCGTCAGATTTGTGGAGCTCGGTACGTTGGAGTCATCCGCTTCTTGTGGACTCCGAGTGATGAAATCCGTGAATAGGTTGCGTCTTCCAAGTGCCCTTTGTACTGAAAAAATATTTTAGTTCTGCGAAATTCTTCCGAACATTTCTATTTTTTACACTACGATGGTTGACCTTGATTTCTTCAATGTCCAACAGATGCCGCATGAAAACATTGATTCGTCAAAAAATAAAATTCAAGCTATACAGGTAAACTTTCTCTACGACGGAATTCTCTGTACAACCAATTTTTTCAAGGGACCATAACTGATTGTTGTTCGGAAAATTTTTTTGTAGAGTGAGTGCACCTGTAAAATTTAATCTGTCCGAACCGTGACTAATTGAAATTTGATTAACCGTCAAAAAGAAGTCTAGTCGACATTCTTACATTGGTAAGGAAAAAAAATCTCGTTGTTCGGGACATCGAGCGTGAAGAGGACCTCGTTTTACTGTTCTTAATAACCTGATCAGTTGTGTGCATGTGCTAATTTTCCCCCGATGTTCGGCAAGTTAAAAGTGAGAATGTACCCTACACAAATGTGTTCTTATGCTGCTTGTGAACAATTATTTAAAAATTATCCGAAAACGTCAGTGTGTTAATCTTACGCAGGTGCGAGTGGTGCTGTACTTGAGTAAATACTTTATACATGTAAGCTTGTAGAATTCTATGGAAGTTTTAGAAACGGTTGAAACAATGTCCTAGCTTAAATTGCATTAGTTTTTACCATAGGTATTCCTGAACCGTTTTACCCCTGCTGATAATTTACACAAGTGGAAGTTGCAGAGGGGTGAATCGTGGATAAAAACGGGACTAGTTCACGAGGGACGAAAGATTTAGATCTCTCCCTAATCCTTCCCCTCTACTAAAATTGAGGGCAGAGGGATTTTTAATCGTGAATTGTCCCATTTTTACGGTATCGCAATATTCTACCTTTGGTTGAGCAGCTCTTACCTACCAGCAATGGTTAGTGTACCAGCAATATAAAGCCTAGTACCGAACATACAGTATATCGTTCATGCGAAGTGCCTGAATCCGAGTCAAACCGCCACTGAAGTTTAGTCTTGGATGTTGTGCATGGAATATTTCAGTCTGGAAATGTTCCAGAGACCTTGGACTTGCAGTGTGCGAGCTCTTACTCACAACTGTTGAAGATAATCCTGGGCATTATTTCCTCACCCGGACACATCTACCGCCAGATTAAAAGATCTGGTTTACAATTACAAGCCTTTCCCATTGAACAACTCTTACCCGTTGTTCATCCCAGTCATCCGGCCCTTCCGCATTCTTCATGGAATATCGACACTTTTGCTTATCCCGTCTTCTAATTAACGAACGCTTTATTCGGGATTACTTGAAATGATATAGTAAAAAATGACTTCAATATTTTTTTAAATGGGTGTTGACTTGATCAAGATGAGAATGGTAGATTGAAATCAACGCATCAATTTACTTTACTGTGCTTTAAATCGAGGAAGTTGCCGAACAAAGGTCAGGATTTACGAAACAGTTCAGTTCTGGAAGCAACATTTGAATTTTCATCGGATGTCGGCGTCGAGGCGTGTGCGATTTTGCACCATCTTTGATCACTCTGAGTTGGCCCCAGACCTCGCAGGAAATCATTGAAAATTATATTTAAATCTTGATTTCTACTGTTACGTGTGTGCGAAGCAGGAACAGTTTAATTGATGAAAGGTCGTCTGACTTCTCATCTTCCTACTTTTTTACGAGGACAAATTGAATTTCCATTTTTTTGTTTAGAGAACAAAAATTATGGTTTTCATCATCAGCTTGGTTTTATTCAGGAAATAAATTACTGCGTAGTGGTTTTCGTAGCAAAAATGACGTGCGTGTTTTGCTGAGTGTTGAACGACGGGGTAACATCATTTTCCGTGCGTTGCTTTTTAATCCCGTGTTTGAGTACTTCACGCAGTTGCGGGCCACGTTGGTCTCCTCGAATTTGCCGCGATGTGACTTCTGTACATATTCTTTCTGAAGTGAGCGGGTTATTTTTCTGCCTTGGGTTAAATTAGTCAAGCCTGTAATTTAGTCTCAACTGGTTCTTCAATTGTGCATCTACGCGAATAAAGGCCGCATACAAATTTTGAGCAGGCATATAAGGTCAAAATAAAACGTGGCACAGTCCGCGAATAACTGATGATTTTTGGGATTAAAATTTAACCAATTTGTGAATAGAATGAATAGATTTTAAATTCAGTACAGAATCATCTTTCTAAATAAAGAAATTGAAATTTTTATTCTACAGGATTTTAATTTTCTGGGTATTATTTATTTGTTCCACCTTCTAAATCCGATTAATCGAAAAGTTGAGATACCACCTCGAATGTAGGCCGCATTCTTTGATTTGGTGAGGTCTTTTTAGAATATCTCGAGTGTAGGCCGCACCATTTTTAGACCAATTTTGATACTAAATTTAGGCCTTTTAGTCGATTTTAAACGGTATCCGCGGCACTGAGGTGTAAATTTAAAAGCTGTTGTTAAATTATTGATTGATTGATAAATGGTATACGTTTTCCTTCATGTCATCCAATCTTTTCAGTTGGGTGGCTTGCACAGTTTGGTACATCTTTGAATCGATAACGCCTTATATTCTCGCGAATGAGGTGTTTTATTTTAGTCTCACAATCGAAAATTTTAATAATGTCTCATGGTTATTGTTGAAATTGTATGTTGATCGTAACATCCGTCTGCTTTACGTTTTCTCTTTCCGGTGTAATTTGTAACTATTCCTAAACTGTTTTCAGGAGCGGGAGATTCATTTTCAATTCGGATTGTAGATAGTTTTGGATCGTACTCCGAAAATGAGGATCACTTGCGTAGTGAAATTTAGGAGAATGCGGACTGTCGACGACAGAAGCTCGGCAACCCTCCTGCTTCGCGGTTTGATCAATAATTCTTTGGAAAAGCCGCGAGGCATTCTACGAGCTGCTTTGTTGCGGGAACGAGTCCACCTGTTAGAAGAGGGTTGAAGCCTCGAGTCTGAGTGTTATCGCGTTTTCTCTCCTGGTTTAAAATGGCAAAAGACGGAGAAGTTGTGAAGGTAAAACAGTCGAAGGCTGAAGCCAAGAAACGGGCCCGGGAAGAAGCAGAATTGAAACGGAAACAAGAGGAGGAAGAAGCTCGGTGAGTTTTTTTTTTTTTGGCGTTGCTTTTTAAAATTTTTAGAAAGATGACTGCCGTGACTCTTCAAGTATGTCTTTTGAATTGTTCTCTGAAAGTTGCCTTTGGAAGCTCAGTATTTTCAAGGACTATGAATAAGCATTACAGGGTGTTGAACAACTTAAAAGAGAGAGAGAGAGGTTTGCCTTTTCGGCTTGTTCCTAAAACTTGGAGGAAATATGCACCTTGGTCTCAAAAAGGTTAAAAAAATAATTCATCGAAGCTGAAAAAAAACTAGCTGTAAATTAGTCTGTAGCAATTCTGCTGGGAAACTTCTATGCACTTGTGTACTACCGCAGAAAAGTTCCTGGACTCGCAGGAGAAACCGAAAAGCAAATAGGATTTCGTATGCTTTTGCGTAAAATTACGGGGCTATTTGTGACTGCCAGTGACATCTGCTTGCGCTAGAAGGATTCATAATTTGTATATACAAAGTATGAAAGTGTAGAGGTTTGAATTACTCGTTGCACTGAAGCTTCTGGACACCATGTAGTTTCAGTTCATGTCATCTTTTATGTTCAGTCGAACCTCTTCAAGTCAAATTTCAAGGGACCAGCAAAAAATTCGAATTAGGCACTCAGTTAGAAAGAAGAATGATGGGGAATTGTAATTGGTGCTATTCTGGGCTTTCAATTGCTTCTTAAATGAGTCAACAAGATGCTAAATTTTGAGGCAAGGGTTCATTTGCCCAAACAGTCTTTCATTTCCTTTCAGAATGCATCAAGTTACATTTTTATTGTTTTTATTTTTCTGTGTAACTAAAAATAATCAGCAAAAGACCAGATAACTTGACTCATGGAGGTATGTTGGGCATGCACGCCATGTACAGTAACGTACCCTAAACAATTCCTAGAAGTAAAAATATTTCCCCCTCCTCAAAACCGCAGTGCAAGGAACATCCTGGCACCGCAGCATACTCAACAATATCTTTTCTGTTCTGATTCTAATAGTAAAACCTTGTGAAGGTTAATTATAATTAGTAGTATATAAGCTGCTCCTTTTCATATCATTATCAGAATCAGTTCATCAGTTCAGTTGTGTTATTCCAATTATCCAAGTTATTCCTGCAAGTTGAGTTCCATCAAGTTGTTTATTCAATTATTCCTTGAAATATATTTCACCCCTTTAAACTAAGAATTCCTAAACCAAATCTTGGTCCTGTCCCAGACTGATTAATGTTTTTGATTATTGTTTAATCAGCACTTGACATCAAATTATATTGAGGCACATTTCCCAATATAAATTTGTAGCAGAGCGTCCACTGTCCCAGGGGAAATGCTTTCAAGTTAGGGAGGTTTTTAATGCATTGTTTCTACAGGAATCCAGACAGGGACTTGGAATAAGTAGATATAGGGAGGTATTCAACGTAGGGAGGTTCCATTTATCAAGGTACAACTGTGCCATAGAAGAAAACATCTTTAAAAATTTTTAATGCAATGGTATGTATGTGATTTAGTAATTTCTTAATTTTTTATCAAAGGCGACGAGCAGAAGAAGAAGAACGACAGCGAATTGAGAGAGAGCATCGTGAGGCGAAAGAACGTATCAAGCGCACTTATGAAGAATACTTTATCCGATTGGATCAATTGAAAGAAAGTTTTGGGTTGTTATCTCGGAACCAAGTTCACTTGCAAGTTGTGCTTGATGAACGAACGAAGTTGGCCCAAGTAAGTCTTGGTGTTATTTCTGGAATGTTTGAATCCGTGGTGTACAATTTTTGGGTAATTTGTATCAAGTGGAATCGGTACATGAGATGTGACGGTTTACCGGATCCGACGGATTTGCCACAACTAAACGCGTATTTATCAACGTGGTTTGAAGACGAAAATCCGGATCGGTTGGAGATCAACGAAGTTTTGAGCAAATGTGCTGAAGTTTTGAAGGTTGGGTGATCTGACTTTTTGGTGTTTTTCACTCTGACGCCCGACATTCTGTGACGTTCTCTATCCCCGTGTAGGAGTTGCCTGAAATTAGTCACGTTTCATGAAGCGTTGGTTACATTGTGTCGACGTGGTTTTTCAGTTTAGATTTGGTCATGATGGGTTGGTTTGGGTTTTTTGTGTAATTTTCATTCGCAGAGATTCAGACGACACTTGAAGAAATCCTAGATAATAAGGTCGGGCGTTAGAGTGAAACGAACACTTTTTCTCATTTAAGTACTGTAATCATATTCACATTCGACTTATTCTTGCAGGTATTGCAAGAAGTTATGCTTTGCCTAAACGATTTCAGAGAAATTCCGAAGCATAAGAAGCGCTTATTTAAAACCGTAAGTATCCTGAATGTTGAGAATGAGCTACTCAGTTGAGGTTCTGATTTTATTTCGATGATTCTAGTGGATTGAAGACGCGCATAATTTGTTACACGTGAAACTGGACCTCGCGTGCTACG